GCCGTCCTCCGCCTGCCCCCCCTTGCCCGCTCCATCGCCATGCCAAATTTAGTAGCTCGATTGGGGCAAACCATGTCATGCGCGGGGTCGGGCACCGCGCGGTAGAGAGAGAAGAACCTGGCCCGCGTGCTCCGTGCGATTGTCGAGCGTTCCAACGAGCTGCCTCCAGCCCTGACGGGCTGCCCCCTGCCCTGCCCCCACCCTCGTCGGACACGCACTTTCTGCGTCGGAAGCCGCCCCGACCCGCTCTGAAACATCCGAGCTCGCAAATAAACTGTTCCGCGTCGCATGGGGCCAACTCCGAGGCTCGCGAGAGCCTTCCCCCAGATGCAGGCCCGCGTCTGTCTCTCTGTCGCCTCTTCCTCGTCGAGCCGAGTACTCCACCTCGTCTGACTCAACGCTCTCCCTGTTTTCGCCTCGCCCCCTTTCCTCGGCCTCCACCGCTGAACGGAGTCGCGGCCCCATCCACCCCCCCCCCCTCCTCGTCTTCCTCCTCGTCCTCCTCCTTCTCCTCCTCCTCCTCCTTTTCGTCCTCCTCCTCCCCCTCTTCTGCCCCATCGCCCCTCCCCCGCCCTCCGCCCCCCCGCCCGCCGCCATTGCTGCGATCTCGAACGTGCTCCGCGGGTTCGTCTGCATTCTGCGCGGCCAGACGCCCGAGCCCGCGGAGGGCCAGCAGGGCGCGTCGGAGGCCGCCGAGGCGGGGGGGGGGCAGCGCGCGAGTGAGTTCCAAGATGACGTCGGAGCGACTTGAAGAGAGGCCCCAAGAACCCCTCCCCCCCCTCCTCCCAGACTGAACCTGGCGCGACCCCAAGTGGGGGGGGACAGTTTCCTGCTGCATGGGCGCAGTGCTTGGCATTGCTTAGTAGTGTTTGGCGTTGCTCGGCATTGCTCGGCATTGCTTGGCATTGGCTTGAGGTTTGCTTACCCTTGCTGGGCATTGCTTGGCCTTGCTTGGCCTTCCTTGGGATTGCTCGGCATGGCTGCGAGGAGCCCGAAGAAACCTGGGCGCCAGAGGAACCCGCGAAGCCCCAGTCCAAAGAACCAGACGAACCCGAGTAACCCCCGAACAACAAGCAACGTACGACTCCGAGGCGCCAGCCCTTAGCCAAGTAAGAACTCCTTAGGCGAACCTAATAATGGAAAGTCTGGGAGGATCCGAAACTGGAGGCCCGCGGTGGATGACCAAACCAATGCCACTCAAACTATCATGATGCATGGCGTGCGCTGAAAGGAAACTGCTGGCCTCGCTCGATGTGGGTCACGCGTGTGAGATCGGATCGGGCGAGATAACTCGCGACTCTGTTATGTGGGTGGATATAGTGTAGATGGCGTTCGCCTGAGATACCATAAGGGCTGTTATCGAGACATTGAACATGCAAGCGCTCGTGCCGACGATATGTTGGACATGCAAACACTAGAAGCGTATCAACACGTAAGGTGTGGCCCGTGTTGTTTGAGACATCTTCGCGTGTCATGACCTGCCCCGACACATGCCCCGACGCCCCGAACCATGCATGCCTCCTACTTCGCTAAAACGAGTCCCGCACGCGTATCAGTTCCCACCCAAACACCCCAAACATGTATAGTCAGTAGCCTTCTTCGCTCGAGCGCAGCTGACGCGCAGATCGCAGCGCATGCCAAGACGGCGTGAACGATTCGGATTCGAGAGCAATTCCCCTCCAGAGTCGGAGCACGTGTTTTCCTGGGAGCGCGACCAGCCCGATCATGCACATGACGATGCGGCATTCACAGATTCGACTGGTTTGGAGCAATACTTTCTGCGATTGCACTGCACTGGCACTCTGAGTGCGAAAGATGGATGTTTGATGGCCCGCGAGGCGATTACCGCGGGGGCTCGTGGCGAGTCATTGGAAAAGTTAGCGTTGGGCCCTGGGAGGCAGACAGGTAAGCATGCGCAGCACTTGCGTTCAGTATTGCCCGAACAAACACGTGCACCCGAACTGCATTACCTGGATGTTCCCGTGATTAGCCGAAATCATAGAACGACAAAGTCGATTCCAGCATCGCCGCCCCATGCATGTTTGGACGCAGAGCTTGAAAGGTTGCGGGCCGAGGGGGCGATGATAGAAGGCATGCTCGCGGAGTCAGTGTGGTCCGGCGTGCATGAGAACCACCCGCGCAGACATCGGCCCTCGGACCCTCGCCCAGTGTTCCCGATTGCAATTTACTTGGGCGGTATCAAATACACGAGGTCGATAGACCCTGGCCATGCTGATTCGCTGATGGCGGTGACATGTTACAATTCGCAACGCTCCGCGCATCCCCGCCAAACCATCCAGAAACGACGCCCATGATATTTGACGGAAGGGGAAGTGGAAGAGACGCGCATAGCCAAACAATTGGTGAGGTTTGGGAGGCTCCGTGGCCATCTCGAGCGGTCTTGGGGCGGTCTTGGGGCCGCGTGGAGCATCTTGGGAGCCATCTTGAGCCAGCTTGGGCTATCTGAGCTATATTGGATGTCATCTTGGGCTCTCTGAGGCCGCTCGGAGACCTCCTGGGGGCCCCTCGGGTGCCGCTTGGAGCCTTCTTATTGTTTCTTGGGGCACTCTTGGAGTCTTCTTGGGGACATCTTGGGAGCCTTGGAGCGCATCTTAGGGCCATGCTGGAGGCGGTCGGTCAAAAGAAGGGGGGTCATGGAGCCCCCCCCCCCCCCCCCCTGGAGGCCACGATCCTCGTGAGGGTGTCAACCGTTGGCCCTCCCAAGGGCCGAAAAAGGAGCCCCCGACACCTCGCGACCCCACCCAAACAACCTCGGGGATGGGGATGGGGAGGGTTCCCCTCCCCGATGGGGAGAGGGGTTGTAGAAGAGGAAAGAGACCATCGCTAGACCACCGCCCAAAGGGCTGGTCGGATTTGCGCACGAACTCCAGACACATCATTGCTGCGCAGAGCAAACGAGAACAATGCAAGTGCGGCCCCCGCGGCTGGGACACGATATATCATGTTTTCGAATACATTCGATGGTCTATGGAGGCGCGGCATAGCTAACAGATCGGAACAAATGGAGTGGCACGGGGAAACGAGGGCGACAGGGGAAGTGAGGGCACACGTAGCAGAGAGGGGGGGCAGGAGGAACGAGGAGTGGGGTCGATGAGAGGACACCACCCATCATCATCGAACCCAATGTCGATATCAACACCGCCACACATGAGCAGGATAATTGAAGGCCGAGGTAACCAGCTGATCCTTCAATTCGTGAGAGTACCACTCCCCCCCCCCTATAGTATAGGGGGAAGGGGATGGGTACTCTCGAAACAATCCTCACACATGTTTATTGTTCCAATCTTTAGCGGGATCCAGGCGGCAACGAATGGCACCAGACCTATGCACCGCTGGGACGGGAGCCCGTGGCCGGAAGGATCAGTTTCGGGGGAGCTGGCGTTGCGCGATTTGAGCGTGCGGTACCTTCTGGTTCAAATAAAAGCTGATTGGGTCGAGCTGAGCAGCGCGCCGGGGTTCCCAACGTGGTCGTCTTATCATTCGCCTTGCTTTCTGTGTGCATGCAACAAGGCGTCTTTATTCAATTTCACGAATCTCCGGTTGACGTTTTCCTCCTGGGGCGAACGAGAGCGCGGCTACCTAGACGAGTGCAGCAGCCGCGAGATCGAAATAACAGTGACAGAAGTGACCCGCTCCTGGATTCTTGAGATCGGCTTGCTTCATTACTCGCAGGACCGCCAGGCACTCGGACGCGCGCTTGGCGCAGACCTTCCTGCATTGCGTCTCCAGCGAGGCGACAGGTTGGAGCCGGGCCCAGAGTTGATGGACACAGCCAGGTTTGAGACGCGCGATCCCCCATTTCGCTGCACGTTCTGGAGGGTGCGCAGAGACGAGAGGAGGCGCAACACATCTTGGACATTGCGTCGGAACCCCTTGTTCGCGCCAAAGCTCGGCACGACACCCCACACCGTGTTGCACCTGGATACGCTGCACATATTATATTTGGGGGTATTCCAAACACTTGTCTTGGAGGTTATACTTGCTGTCATCAATGCCGACGTGTGCGATATAACTGGGCCGATGGAAGTTGCGCGAGCAGAATCTCTTAAACGTATTTTCAGTGACTACAAATCATGGGCAACAAAAAGAACGTATTGACGTCAGCTACCGACTGGCTCAGCTGACGCCAAGTGTGATTCCAGGGAAAAAGAAACCTGAACTCAAAACGAAAGCTGCGGAGACAGGAGTATTGCTTCGGTGGGCGACACACTACTGCAATGAGCCAGGTGGATTGGCGTTCCCAGGCCGCGCGGCTCGCGCGTCTGTGGTCGCTTGGAGAGTCCGCGGGAATGTTTGCATCCTGGGTTGGGGCTGTGACTGCACGGTGGTTCTGGCCAGAAGGCCCCCGCCTCTTTTGACGCTTTCGCCTTCGACGCCAAATTCGGGGGCCTTGAGGCCACGCCAGATTGGTAATGCACCCTCCTAGAAATCGAACGCACGCTTTTTCCGCGCAGTGGCGGTGCTCCTGGTCTCAAAATCTCAACGTTCGAGCCGACACGAACGGCTTTTTTTTTTCTCCGAACACGGCGGGCCGCATTGCGCGCGTCGCCGAACTATGGAACTGGAGGGGGAGGGAGGGGCCGAGGAGGGTTATGCCAAACTTGCGTTGGATTTCGAGGAAGGTGGTCGCATCCGTCGCGTGCAGAATCGCGCGTTGTGCGTAAAGGCCGCGCCATCTTGTTTCCGCGATATTGTACGTGGTGGTTTTCTGCCCGAGAGCCATTTTGTCACTGTACAAGTGGCCTTCCGTGCCAGCAGTGCAGTAGCCGATTGGCAAAGACCTGCGTCTGCCATTCGAGGACCAAGGTCGTCTAGGACATCCTACTTGGCGGATGGCGGCGGATGGGAAATCATTCAGCGCAGTGGGAGGGGACGTTTGGAGGGATATGATGCTAGATGTGGCGCGAGCGCAAATTGCTTGCCCGTATCCTCTTTGTTTTCTTCCCTCTGCTCGCCGTCGTCGTCCTTCGGGCGCGCAGGCGGAGGGGCGCCTTGCTGCCTTGCGCGCGCGGTTGCGCGTGCTGTTGGCGGATTCCTGCCGGGCTGGTGAGCTGAGGGCGGCATTGACACGGCGGCAGGACAGCCCCTTGGCTTTGCCCAGCGGCCCGAAGAGAGTCCCATGACGGCCCGAGACAGCCAAAGAAACCTGCCAAAGGGAGACCGTGGTTCGGAGCAGGGTGGCCTGAGGAAGCCCCCCAAAGCTTCCCAGATGGCCTCCAGAAGCCCACAATCAGCCCCTGAATCGGTGTTGTGAGGCCCCCATACCCCCCAAGGAGGAGCCCCCGTACAAGATGAAGAGGGCTGCCAGGGTATGGCGAGAATGAAGAAGATGAGCAGGAGTTATGAGCGAAGGGGAAGGAAACACACATACTTCTCGACGACAGCCCAAACGGTTTATTACGAAGGCAAGAGCATTTCAGATCGAGCACTGCTTCACAGTAGCGCGCATTCAGGTGGTCATTGGGGTGCCATTATCCATGTCCAAAGGTTCTGTGAGGCAGGGCTTTCTATGAATCTTGGCGATCTTACAGCTTAGATATTCTCATTTCAAGAAGGATGGATGCCTGTTCCTTCCAAACCAGGAGGGGCGCTTTAACGGGAGGCCCTTGGGGCCCCGTCTCTCAAGGGGGCACATTTTGGACTGGAGGGAGGGGGAGCTGAGGATTTGGTCATTCTCATCCTCCGTTTTGTCTTCCTCTTCACTCTTCCTCCTCCGCTCATCCAGATGTTTTCTGGTCATCGTCCCCTGCCCGTCTTGCCAGGAGCAACGGGCGTGCTTGCTGCAAGAGGGCGTGCGGAGCTTGCTGAAGTGCGCGCTGCGCGCCGGCACCCTGCGCGGAGCGCTCGAGCAGGTGATTTTTGATCGCGCTGCCTTCGAAGCCTTGGCAGGCGAGGCGAAGCGAGAAATCCCTGCGGCCGAAGCCCGCGAGGCTGCTGTGGCGGAGGACTCGGGCGAGGCTGCAATGGAGGTGGACGAGCCGCAAGTGCCCGGTGGCAGCGAGGGCGAGGACGAGACGGCCGAGGAGGTGATCTTGCCCGAGATTGGGGCGGCGGAGCGCGACGCCTACGTTGCGCACTTCCGCTGCCTACTCGAGATGGAGCGCCAGGCGGAAGAGGCTCAGGTGTTGGAGCGGCTCCGCCGGCCCCTGATGCAGTTGGAGTCGCTGGGGGTCTCCTGCTCGGGCTTGTGGCCCGAGTTCCGCCCCGGCGACGTTATCGTGCTCACGAGGCGGTCGCGCGGGATCCCCAGCCTGCCCGAGGTGTCGCCTGGCCGGACGGTGCTCCTGACCGCGCAGGGAGACCAGGTGAGCCTCAGCGGGTGCGGCTCCACGGCCGGCGGAGAGGTCCTGAGCATCAGCTCCCGAGAGATAGTCGTTCAGTGCGGGGCCAAGCTGCGGGGGCCGCTCCGCCTGGACTCGGGGCCCAACGGCGTCGCGCAGCGGCGGCTGTCGGAGGTGCTCGTCGCCCTGGAGCGGGGGGGGTCGCGGCCCGGGGAGGACCCCTGGCGGCACGGGCTGGGGCTGGTGACGCCAAGCACACCTCTGGCGTCGGCCCTCTTCGCCAGCGCGCCTGGCGCGGAGGCGACGCTGGCGGCGCGCGCGGCCGAGGCGCCGCCAGACGAGCAGGCGAGCTCGCCGGGTCCTCCCGCCACCCCCTTGCCTGAGCTGGCGAGGCAGCAGCACTACAGCACACCGAGCCCGCCGTGGGTCTCCTACCCGAGCGGCATGTACCGTGCCGCCAACGATCGGTTGAGGAGGCACCTCGAGCGTCCACCCGAGGCGCCGCTGAACCCATCGCAGCAGCGAGCAGTCGCAGTGACTGCGCGGGAGCGTCGGCAGCTGGCTCTTATCCAAGGTCCACCAGGCACTGGCAAGACGGCCACGGCGATCGAGGTGATTGTCTCTTGGCTGAGGGCCAGCAGGGGCCCCATCTTGGCCACGGCCTTCACCAACAAAGGGGTGGACAACCTAGCCGAGGGCCTGTGGCTGCGCGGCGTCAACGTGGTGCGCATCGGCGCCTGCAGCCCCGACTTGCCGTATTCCGAAGCCTCGCACATGAAGGAGCCGCTCGGCCTCGGCACTTCATGCTGCTCTTTCCCTTGTTCCCTCCCCTCCCCCTCCCCCCACCCCTCCCATCCTCCTCAGGCTCCTCTTCCTGCTGGTGTTCCTCCTCCTCCCCTTCATCCTTCTCCTCCCCCGCTCCTCCCCTGCTGTTGCTGTAGCTTCGAGCTTCACACGACGAGAATTCTCATATTGTCATGAATGTGACCTGGATGAGCTAGACATGGGCACATTTCTCTCCTCAAGAAGGGGGGTGGCGTTCTTGCGATGCTGATCATCCGCCAGTATTCACTTGATCTTGAGACTGGACGAGGCTTGTTCCCAACCGTCCTGTGGTGTCGGGTCTTCCTTTCGACTCTGCAGCGCCCCGCGTCGCTCGACTCACTTCTCTCCCTCTACTACCTCTACCCATCGACACACCCCTCACCCTGTTCGTGTCCTCATAGGGAGCTCCACCTACGGCCCCACTGGCAGTGCTTCCATGCGGCCCCGCACCCATTCTGGTACACCCCTCACGCGCTTCATGGCAATATAGGGAGCTCCACCGACGGCCGCCGCACTGCGTCCCCGCATCCATCTCGGCGCACCGCTCAGGCGTTTCGTGGCCCCATACAGAGCTCCACCGAAGGCCCCAGTGGCAGTGCTTTCAAGCGACCCCGCACCCGTGTCGATGTACCGCTCGCACGTTTCGTAGCCCAATCGAGGATCCACCGAAGGCTCCAGTGACAGTGCTCACATACGAGAAAAGTTGAATGACATATCCTGACAATATAGGGATAATATCATGCCTGTGTAGTTACTGAACCAACCGTGCCGGGGGACGCGTCATCCGAGGGATGGGCGTGGCATCGGTCAGCATGTCTTCCTTGCCTTTCTTGAGGATGCTCAGTCCCAGGGCACAACTCGCCGTGAGCATCCTCGCACGTACATGAGGACAATCATCTTGATATAAAATTCTCCAGCCGCTTTTGCTCGTCACCCTCGGCACAACTGTCCAAAATGCCGGGGGAATGACATAGCGGTCTTCAACGATTCTTCGCTCTCGTGTATGTCGAGGACACTCGGCGAATGCGTGACGAAAGCTGGGGGTCGGTGCCCCACAGTGCTTGCAAGGATATCCTGTTCGTCGTCGCGTCTCGGAGGTCACCGCCCCCGATCTGAAGACCGCCAGAAGTGTGCGGTCTTCCTCACTCAGGGCCTGACGCCACTTGGAACATACTTTGCTAGAAGATGCCGGAACGTCCACGTCGTTCATCTCCTCCGCGTCGAATCTCGAGCGCACCACCTGCTGGAGACATCTGATGCGGCCGATGCTTCTGAGTGCATGCTGTGCGGCCTTGCTGTTGGTACTGAAGCTCCAGTCATCACCCACGAAATGCTCGACTGCGTGCCTGACCCTGAAGTCATCACGCGAATCCACTTGAAGAATAGCGCCCTGAGTGGGCTAATATCGGATAAAAGTCGGGTAAAAGATACTCCCAATACCCGTACGTACTCTGAGAGAGTAGTGTCCAGAAAATCACTCCATACCAATCTCTCATCAACCAACTTCCGAAATCCTAGGATGGCGGCAGAATACTCTGGATGAAGCAATACATTTTGTGCCCGATAGCGTCCAAAACACCACCAGCGCGAGATTGTTCTCCACAGGGCTCGGCACAGTAGTCTCGCATCGCGTCTTGGTGGCGGTGTCACAATTGGCAACGCCCACGTCCATAATGGCCTCACGTTTGCAAAGGCCAATCTGAGTCGTACTTGGTGGTCAATAAGTGCTCACATACGGCCCCGCACCCATCTCGGCGCACCCCTCACACGTTTCGTGGCCCCACGTGGAGCTCCACCGAAGTCTCCACTGGCAGTGCTCACATGCGACCCCGCACCCATCTCGGCGCACCCCTCACGCGCTTCGGAGCCCCATAGGGAGCTCCACTGCAGGTCCCAGCGGCAGTGCTCACATGCGGCCCAAAAATCCTAACACACTCCTCTCACGTCCCGTATGGTAGTGCCCATATGCGCGCTCGCTCACATTTCGGCGCACCCCTCGTACGTTGCGTGGCCCCATAGGGAGTTCCGCCAAAGACCTTATCAGCAAGGTCCGCATAGCGTTCCCCCGCCTATTTCGGCCCGCCCCTCACAAACTTCGTCGCCCCATTAGGGGCCCCATCTCAGGCTCCAGCGTGTGCGTCCACATGCGGTTCCCCTCCCACTTCGGGGGCACCTCTCACACGTTCCGCGGCCTCATATCATAGTGCAATGTCCTCCTGCCTGCACTGCGGCACTCGCACTTGGAAATGGTTTTGAGGAGGAGGCATTCGAGGACATTTTGAGGATACGTTTCAGCAGTATACGTTTGAGTAGACCACGTTTCCAGCATCCTGGCTACATCTTTTGATTTGTTCGGCATATGGGCCGGTTTCGCAATATGGTATGATATTTGATGGAATGGCTCGCCTCTTCCGCTGAACGCATTGAAGACAGTATTGTGTGTACTAGCAACCACGGGCACATGAGTAGTGCAAGCCGATGCGACCAAACTGTAGACACAACCCTGACTACCCCCACTATTTCCTAGTAATCTCCCAGCTGTAAGCACTCATGAATGGTACGTGGTGGGGTGGTAAGCAGAGGCGGCGGCGGTCAAGCGGCGGGCGAACACGAGTTCGAATTAGCACGATGACCAGTAGGCAACAAGTAAGGTAGCTCATGTGAACCACTGGGCAACGTTCGCTCTAACCAACGCACAAAACATCAGAAGCGGCGACGTCAGGGCATACACCCATCCGCTCCATCTGCACTCCTGAACCCAGAATCAAGTCCACATTTTCTCGTCTACACAATGTGTTTTGATGTGCGGCGCGCATCCTGATCCACCCCTGCCGAGCAGATCAAATCGTTGGAGAGAGAGTTCATGGATGAAGAACGTGATAGCGGCCGCTCAACGTGTGCGATGTGGTTTTGCTGTGTGAGTGTCACCACTAAGTGAACGTCATATCGACCTATCACCTGGTGTCTCGAGGGTCAGCGGCCGGCTTAACATCGTCAGGCTGCCATGGTGTGTGAATGCGTGGACGGGTTGAACACGAGATCCATGATATATCGGTTGTCGTTTACACACGTGGGCTTAGTTGCACAGTGGTTGGACATATTGCCACGTGAATCACAAGTGGTATTAACACGACGTGCAATTCACTTGCATTGGCACGATGGCTGCTGCACGTCAAATCTTGAACCCATCTTGGTTTCATACATTTCTCGTGCGAAGTGCTGATGAAATCCAACACGCATATAATGGAGTGCATGCCGCGGTATTGACAAGATGTGAGCCTCATGGTGTGCACCTTGCCTCCACCCCAAGCGAATAGAACGCGATGATCACCGCGCAAGTGTTAACGGTGCTACAGTACCATTGCATTTCAATGGCTCCATACCGCCAGATTTCTGCCGCGACACAGCAGGGCGTGCACATGTATAAACGAGAGTGTGATGGGAGGGGAGTGAGAAGCAGAGTGTAGACGCCCATGGTAGCAGGATTCGTTGGGCGGAGGAGGGGGCAGAGGGAGGACGGAGGCGAGGAGAAGGGGAGGAGGAGGAGCAGCAGCAGCAGCAGCGGAGGACAGTACGGATGGAGAAGGAGAAGGAGGGAAGCAGCCATGCGTATAGTGTGATTGGGGAGATGATAAGGAGAAGGAGGAGCAGGAAAATCAAGAGGTGGACGACAGGGAGAAAGAGAAGGAGGAGGTTGTAGAGGATAAGACAGTGATCGTTTTTTATTCATTGATTGCCGATCGTCGCGGGCCCTCGCACCACCCTTCTCATTGAGTAGATCTTGGCTTTTTTGGCGCCTGTTTCAGGCAGGTGGAGTAAGCACAGGGGCCCCGCCCCCTCCTCCTCCCTGGTGGACACGCGAATCGTTGTTTCGCGCAGCTGTAGATTCTATTTTCGGGGCGGCCCTCGAGAAAATAAGAAAGGTGCTCCAGGGCGCCGAATGCGTTTTTGTTTAAGCATGCCCCGGGGGGTAGCGGAGATGAAATTGGAGCCCGGCCCATGTCGCGCGCGTCCCAGCCTAGGCTGAGTCAACCGGGAGGGCCACGGACATTCTTTTATTAAATACTCGTTTTCGAACCTGCGGTCGTCTGGAGAGTCACGTGGACCGCGTGCCGGAGAGCGCGCGGGGTGAGCCGACACGGCGTCTCTTTTGACGGCAGCTATACGTATCTGCCGGGAATGCCGTCTTGGGCATCCTGGTACGTCTACAGTGTCATCTGGGACATTCAGAGCAGCCTCGGTGCGGCGTTGTCAAGAAGCGCAACCACTCCTGCGTCCGTGACTCACGGATTCTTGGGGAGGCAGACAGCCACGACCGAGTCCGCGCGGTGTTGGTCTATGGCTCGCTGGGCTTGTCCGACGCGCAATAAAACAACACGAGGCGACGAATGCGGTTGCGGCCTTTCGGGGCAGCCTCCCCGCATGTTGTCATGATGTTCACGGCGCTCGGCCTCAAGGTTATTCTTCTTGTTCGGCACATTGTGATCCATTGCGGACGCGCGCCACAGTGCAACCCCGTTTTCTGGGTAATATATCACATCCCACCTTCCCCCTTGACAGTTCTGTATCCCCGGTCAGTGCAGATTTGGTTGGGGGCAAGAGGAGCCAAGGGCGAACTTCACTATCGCGGGGGATAATTGCGGATAGACGTTTGTATGGTGTTATGTTGACTAGTCGCATCATCATTCCATGTATGACAGACAGGCGATAGACTATCTCTATGTCTATTTCTAAGAGTATAACCATTGATACTACTGCTGCTACTATTACTACTACTACTACTACTACTACTACTACTACTACTACTACTACTACTACCACGACTACTACTCTTACTACTGTTATTGCTACAGCTACTACCACTACTACTACGACTACTACCACTACTACTACTACTACTACTACTACTACTACTACTACTACTACTACTACTACTACTACTACTACTGCTAGTG